ATTCTTTAGGCCCCTATACTAACTAGGGGCGCTCTCTTGAGGCTTTCGCATTTCATTCTGGCCTGACACAAGGATTGCATACAGGCCTCTTATAGGACGTCAGCGGCGTTGTACAGGGGTCCCATAACGTGTTTTAATTCAGCTGGGTTTGTACAAGGGTGCTGCAAGGGCTTCGTTTTGTTTGGGCTGCTAGGGTTGTAAATGCTTGACTTGCAGTCAGGCGGTCAAGCAGAAACCCAACAAATCATCAAACGGCACAGGGTAGAGGAGTTTACGATTCGTTTCGTGGGGAAAGGCGCAGCATGCACCAGCTCATCTGCCTTGCACAATCCTCGTCGCCGGCAGGCCATACTTACAACACCGACCAACAAACTTGAGAATAAGTGACATGCTCCGACCCATGCGAAAGCCGCAGAAGCGTCGACCTCAGACTCTCTCGGAAAGTTCACGTCCCGGTGTGCACCGAGCCACTCGAACAAAGTAGGTAAGGATTTGTTTGGGTGTCAGCATAGGTCCAAGCGCGCAAGCGTGTCAAGTTCAAGCACCTATTTTGCCCAACACGACAGCCAACGCACGGCCTCAAGATCGACCTCAGACTCTCTTGAAAAGTTCACGTCCCGGTGTGCATCCGATGTCTCGAACAGAAAACAGAACTTGAATACTTCAATTGTTGGCTTTCGGGTAGAGGACGGTCTCTGCTGCGTAAGTCGTTTTGAGGGGCAAGCACCTACACCGTCAGCTCTAAGACCCTCGTCTTGGGTCCCGTACTTCACAGGCGACGTCGAGCAGGGCAGGCATGCCAAGCCTGGTCAAACAAGCTGTGGATAGCTAGGTATGTCATATTTATGGGTAATATTGTGGTTATACGGTAATCACTCATGTGGCTTGTATGATCTTCTATCATGCATGTGTATGAGTATGTATGTATGTATGTACGTATGTATGTATGTATGTATGTATGTATGTATGTAAGTACGTACGTACGTACGTACGTACGTAGGTAGGTAGGTATGTATGTCTGTCTGTCTGTCTGTATGTATGCATGTACGTACATGTGTGTGTGTGTATGTGTGCATGTGTATGTGTATGCGGATGTGTATGTGTATGTGAACTGTGAAAGTGTGTAAAACGGCAGAGATTTAAAAGAGAGAGAGAGAGAGAGACAGAGAGCGTGCTTCGCGCTTGTAGACGCCTGGAGTTTGGGGTTCCAGCTAACCTAAGCTATGGGCGAGGGTCGCTTCTAGTCTGCCTTGTCTTTTCACGGAGGCTTCTGCTTGTGGGTTGGGTGGAAGCTAGCACCGAAAATCTCAGGAAATGGAGCCCAATATAGATGCCACATCATAGGATCCTCACGAGAAGCCACCCTACATGAGGAACTCCCGATTGTGGAAATCACCCTCGGAACGACCCACCTGCTCGGTGTGATGTCAGAGCAGCTTGGCCGTAGCGGCGATGCCTGGCCGAGGTTGCTCGAAGCAAAAAAAAGGTTTTGGGGCCAAGGGCTTCACGTGTTGATGTAAGGCTTGAGGAGTTTCGGACTACGGGTTTTGGGGTTTTCGGCTTCACTGTTACATTACATCGTTGCCTGAGGGTGTCGAGACCGGAGTGCAGGGTTCTTTCAGTTCCAGGAACTCCTTGGGCTTTGGGGTGTTCGGCTTCGGCTTGCAAGAGCTCGGGTTGAGGGGTTGGGGATGGTGAGTTTCTGGCCGGATCAAGACTTCGATCCTTTGGGCTTCGGGCGATAAGGCAGTATAAGCTTTTCGAGTCTGGATTTTAGGGCTCAAGGTCTGTGCTTCTGGGGCTCCAAGGATGAGCCAGGTAAGTTTTGTTCGGGCTTCGGGGTTTTGGGACTTAGGGTTTTAGGCTTCCTCGCCCTCCCTCCTGGTTTGAGGCGGGCGGCGAAGCCGGTTGCTGTAAGCGTCCTCATGGAAGAGGGGGGTGTGATTTGTGATGCACCGACTCCAGTAGCTGGGAACGGGAGGCCGGAAGGGCTCAATCCGAAGCGCCTAGAGGCCCAAACCCTGAACAACTAAGCCCTAACCCCCAAGAACCCTAAACTACTAATCTTAAGTACCAAGCGAAACCCAAGCCTCACAGCCCGAATCCTCAACCCTCAAGGTATCCAGACCTTGCCTTAAACCCAAAACCCCGAACTCCGAGCCCCATCACTTACGCAGTACAGTTCTGATGATGACTATGAGATTAGTTTGAACGGTATTACTATATGTGGACTACATGATGAACTAGTTGATCAAAGCCCTGCATTCGAGGCCTCGGCTTCCTCGTCGCTAGAGGTCGGCGCTTCCCTGTCACTCTCGTGATCCTCAGTTCCGGCCAGAGATGTGATTTAAGCTGACAAGACCGGGTCACCAAGACTTCTTGTTGGTGTTGGTGTTGGCGGCTGCTGCTGCTTCAAAGTTCAGCAGTACGCCTCAAGCCTCTGCGGGCTGTGTTGTTGAGGTGGTTCAGGGCCTAATCTCGGATTGAGCGTTTGGTGCTTCAAGTTTGGGATTGCAGGGCTCCAGGATTCCAGAATTCACATCCGAGGGCTTCTTGCAACGTTAGCAGAGTGCGCCTGGGCTTTGACGACTAAGTATTTCTGGCACCGCATGCTGTTGGCGGCAGCGAGCCAACCGCTGCCATCTGCCGCGGAAGGAAGCCCCTTGCTGCACTCGGACCGCCCTCTAAATCCGCCCTCTAAATCGCAATTCCGACTGACTACGAGGGCCTTCCCGACTGCTTAAGCAGTCACTACACTAACTACAGCGCTGCAAGCTCTGGCCGGGAGTCCGAGGGGATGTCGGCCTGGCGCGACCACGCGCCCTCGGAGTTGAGGCCTTGGGGAGGAGATGACGTGATCTGCTGCCAGCAACAACAGCATCATGAGCGTTGTGGGTGTGAGGGGTTCTGAGACACGGGGGCTTGGAGGCGCCTTGATGCTTCACCTGATTCGCAAAGGAGCCAACCACCACAAAACAAGAACAAAAAGTGCACCGAGGACCTATGTCCTCTCCTCCTACTCTCCTTTCCTTCAGGCGGCCGGCGGCCCAGGTCATCACGCAAGGCCCCAAAGACTGTATTTACTGTTTGTGGCTGGGGCAGCCTCGACCCCAGCACAGGCCCAACCATAAACAAGAATAACCAAGACAACTACAGCAACAAGCAAAGACAACTGCAAAAAACAAAAACACAACGACAGCGACACCGATGATGTGGTCCATACACCATCATTTTCATCATCCTCATCATGATGATGCAGACATCAGAGCCCATATCACCGTTGTAGTTCAGACTGTTACTGTCAGGTTTAGGCTCTTCCTACGGCGTCTCCTACTCCTACTATTCCTGCTACTCCCAGTACCCATACTCCGACTCCGACAACTACTACCCTACTACTACTTACAGGCCTCCGGAAGTCCAAGGCCCCGGACCCTGCACGCGCATCATCTCGTTCTTCTCGCGGCTGCGGACAGAGAGCGCCCGCTTGATGCTGTCCTACTGGTAGCTCAGGCGACGAGGAGAGGGCATCAGGACGAGGATTTGGATGCTCTTCGTTTGAACACTCGCCGACAGCGTCTTTGGTTTGAGCACTCGGATCTGCAGCATCGTCTCTGGTACTTTTGGTCGCAGGCATTTTTGAATTAACCTCCAGTGTTGCCATAGCCTAGAGCTTGGAGCTGCGACTGTGCAGGGTTTTGTGGCACCATGAAAAAGCCACAACTGTCCCCAAAACCGAAAAATCACACACACACACACACACCTGCCCTCGGTCAAACAATCCTACAAGTCCATCAATCCTACCCGACCGATGCAAAACCCTCAAACCCGAAGGCCGGCCCCTCGAAACGCCTCTCCATCTGCGGCCTGGAGCGGTGTCGCCTGGCACGCTTGGGTTCAAGGGTTTTGCGGAGGTTAGCATCTCCTTAAGGGGTTCCGGGTAGAGGGTTCCGGACTTGGTTCGGGCTTAGGGCTTGAAACCCAAAACGCCAATCCCTGCTTCGAAGGCTCAAGAACAGGGAGCGAAGTTTTCGAGAATTGTCGGCGCTTCTTTAGGGCTTACATTGGCTTACATAGGGGGCTCAAGAGGGGGTTACTGTCGCTGCCATCGTTCGGACCCCTTCGATGCAAACTCACCTGGCCCTGGCTCAAAGGTATTTGGCGGGGATCGTTCCCAGCGCCAAAAGCTCTTATGGAGCTGCTTTACACAGCTAGAACAAGCTGCAGCTTCCCCTACTACACTCTCGTCCTCAGAGCCCTGCCTGCGTCTCTGCCTCGGCCACGCCCTGCATGGCGCGTGCCTTGAAGTCCTTCACCCTGGCCAAGAGCTCATATACCGCATGCATGCACGTGCAGCTACATCGATGCGAACACAAGCTCATGATAAGCGTTGGCCTTAGCATCACTTGTGACAGTGAAGAAATTTGTTCATACGGTCCGTGCGAGACTCCATTAACTTCCCAGCTGCCTGAGGAGGTGCGAGGTGCCCAGGGTGAAGCAATCCTGGGCTTCTCTGGGCTGGGGTTAAGGTGCATAGTTTTCAGGGCTTAAGCGTAAAGGTCTTTGGCACTTAAAACGCAAGTGGGAGCCAGTTTTTTTGCGTAGAAATGCATAGAGGATCATAGAAGTAGGATTTAGGGTTAGGGCAGCCTGAGCCCTTGGATGTCATGCACGGGAATACAACCGAAGATGAAAGAGCAGTGCAGATTTTCCTAGACCCCTCTACAGGCAATACAATGCTCCACCAGCATAGAATACATTTCTAATGCCGAAGCGGTGTCTTCTGCCTTGAGCTATGACTGCGGAGGGTTGAAGTCGTAAAACCACAGCCCGCGCTGAAAGCTGACCAGTTGAGAACAGTGAGAACAGCTTTATTACGTTGTTTCAGCAATTGGTTGACTCAGCGCGGCCCTGAAACTTGGGAAGTCTCATCTACCTACATATAGATAGATAGATAGATAGATAGATAGATAGATAGATAGATAGATGGATAGATAGATAGATAGATAGATACCCGAAGTTTTAATTTTAGTAATTAAGCGAGATTTCATCTATATCTGGGGCTCTAAAACTTGAAACCCTACACCCCTACATCGCGCGAACTGGTTCAGGCAAGAAGACGCAGCCCCTGCAGTCAAACACGGTCGGATACAGTACGACACTGATATCAGAGAGCTCGGTGGTAATTGCGCGAATGTTGAGCTTATGGCATGAGCCTTGTGGCAGGATGCCGCCTTAATTCAGACTCAATCTTGCTGCAGCAGGGCATCGCCACAAAGCTTGTCCAACTCCTTCCGTACAGACAACGATTGCTGACGGTTCCCAGGTTCCCGTTCCGTCTGTTCCGCGATTCTTGCAGCCAGTTTCGTTTGTCGAGATGCTGCCCAGAGGCCCCAGAACCACAGCTTTATCAACTTCCTGGATCCAACACCCATTTATAGACACGTAACCTGAAAACCAAAAGCGACATACGGCTGCAGGGCACTTCCAATGCAGATGCCAGAACTTTCCACAAGGCTTAACTTTTCAGCAAAGCTTGAGTACTTCACAAGAGAGAGATGCTGGGAACTATGAGGAAAGACAGATTCAGGTCCTCATCTTATTTGAGCCGTGGGTAAAGGTCAGTGCCTCCTCGGGAAGTAGCCGCACGCGCTTCTCCAGGCGGAGGCAAGCGGAATCCACCTTTCTAAAGCTCGAATGCTGAGGGCGAAGACAGTTCGTTCAAGGACAGATTCCTGTTGGGTGCACGGTTCAGACTTCGCGCCCCTGAGCCGCAAAGCCCCAAGCTGCAACACCTTAAGCCCGAACACATACACTTCGTGTAGAGCTTAGGGGATGTTCTTCCTTGGCGGGCATATCTTCAGGTCGCGTCCCACAACTTTACACTCTTTGAGCTTGCTGCTGTCTGTCGACAACCGCAACCACGTTCGCGCTTATGCTGTTCCTTGCTCTTCTTGCGCTGCTACTCGTGGCTCGTGTCTCGCGTCTCTCCTATGTGTCTGATCGTCTTACTCTTGCTGGACATTCTCCAAACCTCGAAGCCGAAGATCCAAATCATAAGCATTCCATATACTCGTATCCATTCCAAGTGCAGCAAAGTGGCGCCGAAATGTTGGAAGTAGGCCTCATGTGCCAAACCCAGCCTGGGGTGACCACTTTGAGTTCGGGGTTTCGGGTTTCGGGGCATGCCTTCGGGTTTACCATAGACCTGTGGAGAGCTTGCGCAACGGCCCAATCTGGGCCATCTGGCTGCTGAAAATTCACTACTAGACTGCTGGAAGCCTGACTTTGCACGTGCTCCTAGACTCATATATCTCAGAGCTATGGGGGCTCCCGTGGTTCCCTTGATTCCCCGGTGGAGGATATTGGAGCTTCTTTGACGCAGCTTTCGCGAGCAAGTCCACAATCTCCTGATGGCCTCGGAGAGTCGCCTTCTCCAGAGCAGTCAGGTCAGACTGGCCCCGCTTCAAGGAATCTGCCCTGGCTGCCAACAGCTGTTTCACGATTTCTGCGTGGCCTTCGTGAGAAGCTTCCACCAGGGGAATGAAGCTCCCAGCGTTCGGGTCAGCACCGGCATGCAGCAACGCACGCGTGATTTCCGGATATCCGTTCTGGGATGCTTCCAGCAATGGCTTAAAGCATCCCTGCTCCACGTCGGCCCGAGCTTCCAGCAGCAAGCAGGTCATCGCCAAGTGGCCCAACCGACAGGCCCAGGAAAGCGGAGGCAGATTTTCCCCGTCCTCGCCCGTGGATGCGCCTGCCTCCAGGAGAAGGCCTGCCAAGTCCAGCCGGCCCAACCGAGTCGCCCAGGACAGGGCGGTGCAGTGGTTGGTGGCCCGGTTTGCATCAGCACCCTCCTGTACCAGAAAGCTTGCGACCCCGACGTGCCCGAACTCGCAAGCTTTCACTAGTGCTGTCCGGCCGTGACTCAGCTTGTCCTTGTCTGCCTTGGCTTCGAGAAGCAGTCGCACGACTCCAAGATGGCCATGCTGAGCAGCCTCGACAAGGGGGGTCCAACCAGTTGTTCTCTCCTCCTGGAAACGCAACTTGAACGTCTGTTTGCTGTCCTTGTCCTTCTCGGCGCCGGCGGCCAGCAACATGCCTGCAATTGCAACCGATCCACGACGACTAGCTCGGGCCAGTGGTGTGACGTCGACGTCCCCGTACTTATCGGGCTCGGCACGAGCAGCAAGGAGTATTCGAACCAGCTCTTCCTGAACGGCCGTCCGTTGCAAGCCATTTCTCAACTGTACACAAATTTCGCACAAAACCCAGACACACTAAACACAGCAGCTGCACGCCTGTCTGTGCTCGCAGGAGATGGCGAGAGGAGTAACGTTGCCGTAGCCAGATTCGCCACATCTGTCCTGCGACATTCCAGAGGCAGATTAATGGCTTTAGTGAGATACGGGTTCCTGTATCTTCCTACGAGGATACTTACAGGGGCTGACAAAAGGACTACTGCAGAAAGCATGTCGTATAATATGTGATATCTGAATGTGTATATATATATATATACATAATTATACATACATAGTATATCTTCGTGGTTCAGGCCTTACATGTCCGGTTGGGTCCCCACACAAAGCAACTAGGTTGTCACATTGGTGCCTACTGACCAATTGCAACTTAGACAACTCAAGGACTTAAAGGTTTGGAGTGTCCAAGGATTGCAGGTTCCCCTATGGCTTCTCCTGAGACTAGCCCGGGTTGTGTGTAAACCCTCGAACTGTAAAATCTGTGTGTCGAGGATACTGAGGATACTGGTGTCCTGGGATGCAAGTGGCAATAGCAAGTCAGAGCAAGAAGACAGCTGCCAACCAACCAACCAACCAACCAACCAACCAACCAACCAACCAACCAACCAACCAACCAACCAACCAACCAACCAACCAACTAAGCAAGCAAGCAAGCAAGCAAGCAACCAGCCAGCCAGCCAGCCAGCCAGCCAGCCAGCCAGCCAACCATCCAACCAAGCAAGCAAGCAAGCAAGCAAACAACAACAAAACAGTTGCTATGGCACTGGCATTTTGAAGGGATGTTGAAGGATTTTCAAAGGATTTCCATGGGATTATCAGGTGTCCAGGGTTCACGGGTGTCTACGCTTAAGAACTTGCGGTCTTCTGGTGCGCCTAAACCCCGCACTTTCCAAAGTATGAGATCTTTCGAAATCCCCTTCTAAATACCTCTAAATACCACAAAAGAACCCCGAAAACCATCCTGAACACCATCAAAACCCTTCTAACCGACACCCTTCAAAATCTCGTTTATATCCTTCAACATCCTACTAAAGCCATTCAAAATCCCACTGAAGCCCTTCAACATCATGTTAAACCCTTCAAACTCCATCCAAATCCTTGTGGAAGCGTTTCATATCCAATGAAAACCCAGGAAAATTCCAGACAAACCCTTGCACAATCCTGTTATGAACCCCATAAAACCCTGCAGAATCCCATTGACAACATTACCATTAAATCCCTTCCAAAACCAAAGATAACCCCCTTCTACAATTCGCAGATTCCCATACCTTAGGTGGAAACGTGATGTGATGTGAGCGGTTGTTGCAAAGGGCGGGGGATCAAAACAACAGACGGGGCTGCAGTTGACAAATATTTTGTCTCTACCATGCTAGAGACAAAAACTGGAGCCCCGGCTGTTGTTTTGACCCCCCCCCCTTCCAACCAGCCAGCCCACACCGCATTTTTATCATGGTGGAGATGCTGTGTAAACCATGGCTTGCTTTCCCCAAAACTCTACAGGCACCCCATGCGGTCGCCGGAAGCATTCCCAAGTGCTTCTAAACAACATAGGTTAGGGGCTGCAGTTTTTGCCTGTACCAACACCAACAACAACGACAGCAGCAGCAGCGGCAACAGCAACAGCAACAGCAACAGCAACAGCAACAGCAACAGCAACAGCAACAGCAACAGCAACAATATTGATGCCTGCAGCTCCACATGCGTCGCCTTAGCAGACTTCCGACGCTTCTTTGACCGG